TAATTTCTAAGGTTGAACTGTCGATTTGCGTAATGTAAAGTAAACTATAAACACAACAACTCACAATATGATGACGGAGAAACCCCAACGTGGGTAAAACTCCGAAACCAACCTAGTGATATCCACTATACCAATTCAGCAAGTACAAGTAACCAAACTTCGTATCCAATCAAACCCGTTATTCTAGTCTCACGATCTACTGTCGTTGATACCTCTAGCCTCCTACTAGGCTTCTAGATCTACCTTCTGCAGCCCAATCTGCTGTCCACTATAGCCTCTTAGTCCTTAGCTAATTGTATCACTAAGTGGAATTTCAAGAACCGCATGTTCTTGTCCGATTCACTGCACTTTTCGTCCACCTCTCTCAATCCCCTAATAAGAGAGTCGCTTCCTCAACAGATTAAGGAAGACACGATGTTTTGGGTTATGAAGATTGATGTTTTTCCCAAAACAATGGTTGTCGTATTACAAGATTGATGTAGATGGAATCACCAATTGATTGCACCTTAGATCTCCAAAGATGTTATGAATATGTTTGGCAATGAAAGAATAATGTAACAATCTCTCAAAATTCGTGCTAGGGCTTGGCTATTTATATTTGAAGGTGTCTAAGTGGTATAGGCCGAATAAAATACTTCAAAAATACAAACTAGGGATTTGGCCACATGGGAATGTCGCTCGAGCGAGGGCTGGCGAGAATCAAGCGAGACGTATTCTTTTTTTTTTCACTCGAGCGAAATGTCAGCGAGAATCAAGCGACAGTGAGCAATCGTCAATATTTTTATCATAACTTTCTCTCCCAATGTCCGATTGAGGTGATTCAACTTGTGTTGGAAAGCTAACTCAAAGGACTATAATTCTTTAAGTAGCCATGTCCAAATTCCAATTTTTTCTATAAGAAAAATGCATTGCAAGTTACGACTGAAAATTCGAAACATAATTTATGTGGCTCTTCGATATCCTTTAGACTTCCAATTGCATTCCAATCATCTTATGTGATCTTTTTGGACATCTTGGACTCCTTCAATGACTAAACATTAATTTCCTCATCTATACAAAATTGTATCCTAAGCCCTTGACTTTTACAAGAATGTACAATTGAGTCTCTGACTTTTACAAACATAAAATTACACCCGTTTTGTTTACAGAATTGTCAATTACATTATAGACCTAACAAACTCTACCTTTTGCATTCTGTGACAAAACCATATACAATAAGTCAGAACTATAAAAATATAAGTCAGGTCTCTAGACACAATCTATTATACTCAATAAACTCAATTACTGAGTCTTGCATTCCTTGTACATGTTTCCTGAAATCCGCAAACTCATGTACCCAGTGTAAAAGTACGTGACACAAGAAATATAAACATTAAAGAACTTAATCACAAACACATCAACATGCTAGTCTGAGACGTGATACTAATGCCAATCAAAACACTAACCAAAAACACTACCAGCACTAAACATCAAAACTCAAACAAATGGATATGATATAGAATGCAATGCAACGCTCCCACTTACTGCAAAATCTTGTAAATGTTACTACCCCTATATGTATGCTCTTTTACATTTTTTTTCTCCTCCTCAGTCACACTTTTTTCTCCCCGTTTTTTTCAAAAATGCTGAAGGAAATTATATCAAGACCAAGCTAAGCAAATAACACATAATAACATAAAAGTGCAGTTGATAGCATGCTAAAATAAAATTAACAAGTAACAGACCTCCTCCACATACTCAGTTTAGATAGAATGGAGTAAAAAGTACAAGTGACTCATGTGTGTAAAGTGTCATTATTCCAATGAAAGTAGGACTCCAGACATTAATTTTGTGAGAAAGGACATGCCAATCACTGACAATAAGTATATTCTCCTACTAATTAAAGTCAAACCATGCAATGTGCAGTAGGACATATACTTATTATTTTTACTTATCGCCCCTTTACTATGAGCTTTTATATTTTTCAGATTTTCATTTTATTTTAGCTCTTCATATTTTTTCAACTTTTTCTCATTTTTCATATTTTTCAACTCACTTATTTTTTAACTTAAGTGTAGGTTCTTCTCCATTAGGTCTACTGAAATGACCTCTGAAACGAGCTTTAGCTTTAGGTCGGTTAATCCAAGTCAGTTGATCATAGACACCAAGTTTTAAGAGATCCCGCAAACTTAATTACTCGAGTCAAATAGGGCCCGAAGAAGAACATTGAGATATGAGCTTTTATATAATGGGGGATAATTTTCAAGTTAAGGTCTACAAAAAGTGGTCAATTCATGTTAGAAGTCACCCCATTAAGACGTAACAGTAATCCCAAATCTCACATATGCAGTAAAGTCCTACTAAAAAGTTCATAGTGTGTGAAGTGCAGATGGTATATGAAGACACTTATGCAAATTAATACAAATAGATCTAACCAAAAAATGGAAATTATTCTATAGCTTATCAATTTTAGCTCCTGCATGATCACAACGTGCAAGCTCAAAAGTCATGCATCATGTTGTAGCAATTTTCACAACCAAAATAAACAAGTGAAAATGTACATGCATGAAATAAAATAAAATAAAATAAAAAATAAACACATTACACATGATGCATGCAATAATCATATGTCAAACGAGAACCAGGCATGCATAAAAAAATACATAATCAAGTAGGTATATAAATCATCTTTCCTTTAAGAGCACTGCGATCTACTACCAAATTCGGGAGATCGCTCTTCTTCACTCAAATTTATCTAGAACGGGAATTGTTTCCAGACAGTTGTGTCACCAGTTGGGTCAAACAATTCATTTGATCAGCAAGGAATCTAATCTGACCAACACACGCACACCTGATTTTCATCATTTTTCAAGTCAAGCCTTTCCTATTGCTGAGGTAGTGATGACATCTAGGGCAGATGTGACCTAACTCTGTACACTGAAAGCATGTCGAGATAAACCTAGGACCTATGTTATATGGACGCTGATTTTTATTCCTAGGTCAACGGGTCTTACGACGTCTGGTAGACCTATATCATGAAGATCCCACAACATTAGATATAAGGTTAGTCACAGTGTTAGGCTAGTCGGTAGCACAAACAAAAGTGGTCTATGAAGTACTAGCAGCATTACTATCAAAACCTAGACCTCCCTTATCACCAGCCGTCTTGCCTATTCCTAGAATATTTTCTAGCTTTTTAGAACTGCTAGAAAAGGCAAGTATTTGAGATCTAGACAACTCTAGCTCACTTTCAAGATGCTTAACCTAAATAGCTAAGCTCTCATTCTCAACAGTTAGCTCACTTACTCTCCTAGAGGACATCTCATTCTTACTGGTGAGATCACTAACCTAGCCTCTAACTATTCTTTCTCTAACCTAAGTTCCTTCACTTTCTTGCTCAGCACCTGGTTAGTAGCTATGATCTTGAGGCTTTCTTCGTACATCTTCTCATAAGCTTCTTCTAGATCTTCCTCACTTCTACTCTTATTACCAAATTCTTCACTACTATTTAGGTCTTCGTCCCTTTCACTCCCTTATTTAGATCCACTCTTAAACTCAGCAAAAAAGGCCACATATTTTCCACTTTCCTTATGTGTGGATTTCTCACTTTGATTATCCAAGCTAGACTTGTCATCAGTGAGACTAGTATTCATTGCCTTCTCTTCAACTCTCCTAGCATTCGAGTACTCACTTCTCACGCGACCGAAACCTCAATAGTTATGGTATCTCATGGATTTAGATTTTCTACTAGATTCACTTGGGGCACATTTTTGTCTCTCTTGAAGCTTCTTCTTATTCCTAAACATTTTTTGAAATTTTTTAGTTAGGTAAGCCATCTCCTCATCATTGGGTGAATTTGAATCAGAAGATTCCATCTGGTAATTCCTAGTGGATTTCAAGGCTATGAATTTTTCCTTAGCATGATTGTCTAAGGTCAACTCATAGGTCTGGAGAGATCCGACTAACTCATCTACATTGATAGTGTCTATGTCCTTACTTTCCTCAATAGCTATGACTTTCGACCTGAAACACTCGGGTAAGGATTCAAGAATTTTTCTAACTATTTTGGGCTTGGGAATTTTCTCACCTAGGTTGAAGGAGGAATTCACTATGTCATTTAAGCTCGCATAGAATACATCAAACATTTCATCATCTCTCATCCTGATCTCTTCAAATCTAGTAGCCAGCATCTGCAGTTTTGAATTCTTAACCGCTCGTGTTCCCTCATGTTTGGTTTCTAGAATATCCCAAACTTCCTTTACTACCTTACACATGGACACTCTCCTAAATTCCTCGGGGAAAATAGCCATAAATAGGGCACATAAGGCTTCACTATTCCAATTGCATCTATCCAATTCAGCTTTAGAACAATTTCTATGGAGTGGGAGTGACAACACCATCTATTGTGGTCTTAGGGGTAGACCAACCATTCACCACACTCAACCAAATCCTCTCACCCATAGATTTCAAAAATGCCATCATTCTCACTTTCCGATAAGTATAATTATTCCCATCAAAATGGGACGGCACATTCAATAAAGTACTCATCTAGACTAATGTAAAGTCAGGACATACACTCAAGCTCTGATATCACTTGAAGATTCTAGTATGCTCTGATACCACTTGAAAAGTCACCTAAAACGCTTAGATACACTAGAAAGGTCGGCTAACGGATACAGTGTCAAATTCAAATTTATGCGTTACCAAATTCACGTTTTAAGTTAACAATTTGTTTGACCTTACATGTGGAATTAATTAATAAAAGTAGCAAGTCACAATGTCTAGATGGTTAAACATACAATCCAATTAATTCCTAAGGTTCAACTGTCGGTTTGGGTAATGTAAAGTAAACAATAAACACAACAACTCAAAATATGATGAAGGAGAAACCCCAACGCGGGTAAAACTTTGGGACCAGGTCAGTGATGTCTATTATACTAATTCAACAAGTACAAGTTACCAAACTTCATACCCAATCAGACTCACTATTCCTGTCTCAAGATATACTGCCATAGATACCTCTAGCCTCTTGCTAGACTTCCTGATCTACTTCCTGCAGCCCAATCTGCTGTCACTACAGCCTCTTGATCCTTAGCTGTAGTATCACCAAGTGGAATTTTGAGAACTGTTTATTCTTGTCTGATTCACTGCGCTTGTCATCCACCTCTCCTAATCCCCAAATGAGAGAGTCGCTTCCTTAACAGATTAAGGAAAACAGCATGTTTTTCCCAAAACAATGATTGTCGGATCACAAAATTGATGTAGATGGAATCACCAATTAATTGCATCTTGTATCTCTTCAAATATGTTATGAATATGTTTGGCAATGAAAGAATAATGTAACAACCTCTCAAAATTTGTTCTAGGGCTTGGATATTTATATTTGAAGGTGTCTAGGTGGTATGGGTAAAACACTTCAAAATGTGAACTAGGGATTGGCCACACGGGAATGTCGCTCGAGCAAGGGTTGGAAAGAATCGCTCGCAAGAATCGAGTGAGAGGTATTTGGTTTTTTTCGCTCGAGCGAAATGCCAGCGAGAATTGAGCGACAATGAGTAGTTATCAGTATTTTCATCATAAATTTCTCTCCCAATATTCGATTGAGTTGATTCAACTTGCGTTAGAAAGCTAACCCAAAGGGCTACAATTATTCTAGATTTAGCCTTATCCAAATTCCAACGTTTTCTATGAGAAAAATGCGTTGCACGTTACAATTGAAAATCAGGAACATAATTTGTGCGGCTCTTTGATATCCTTTAAATTTTCAATTGCATTCCAATGATCTTATGTGATCTTCTTGGACTCCTTCAATGACTCGAACACTAATTTACCTCATCTATACAAAATTTCATTCTAAGCCCTTGACTTTTACAAGAATGTTCAATTGAGTCCCTCACTTTTACAAACATACAATTACGTCCATTTTGTTTACAGAATTGCCAATTAAATTATAGACCTAACAGTCCCCTCATGTAGCCCCATGCCATTGACATTCCTAATTTTAGTAGATGAGAATAAATTCATAAGAACCATTCTTTAGACATATTATCGTATAGGTATTCACCAGACTCAATGACTAACGAGGAATTCATCAGTTCCTCATGATACAAGAAAAGCAAGATATTCGACATGTAAATATTTAATTGGAGTAAATAACATAGACAATAAAGTCACATTTTGTATGCTAATATCTTCGGTCACTAGGATTTTTTAATTTACATTATTTTTACAATCTAATAACTTGTATAACTTTGTTAATTTTATATTTAAATGCATCATTGATTTGACAGATGTCTTCTTCAAATAAGTTACAAGAGTTCAAGAAATTTTCTTTTGAATACCTAAAATAAGATGATTCTAATTTAATTGTCTATAGTATTTTCAAACATATATTGCTATTAGTATATAATGTGAAACTGAACATAATTAGATTTCTCTATAGAATAGTTATATTTGTGTATTTTTATAAAACAATATTGATGCATATTTTGAAATTTATCATTGACATGGTTATTGGAGTTCATATTTTTAGACCAAAAACTAATGCTATTGAATACTTATATTTGTCAATTAAGAAATTAGAATGCTATTTAATATGAATACATTATAATCAAAAAATGCTATTGTAAATGATACATTATATTCAATAAATACTACAGATTTAAAAAAGTATGATGAAAAAATAATGAGGCTGTAAATGTAATCACGATGATTAAAGAATGTTATAAAAGCAAAAGTTATAACAAAAAAATGCTATCAAATTAAAAAGGAATGCATGAAAATAAATACTAAAATCACGACGATAACGGAATGTTATGTAAAAGTTTTTTATTTTTATTTTTATTTTTTTCCTTTTATAACACTTTATAATAACATTCAAAAAAATGTTATGGCAGGTCTACGACTTTTACATACTAATCATTTAATATTTCTTACACATAGTAACCATAATAGACTATGTTTTATTCAATTCAT